ATCCCCAAGTATGAACTGCCCCGGGCCGTCAGAAGCCCGTCACGTCACTCGCAGACAGATATAACGCTCACGTTGATAAGAGAGCAGTAGAAGGCGCCGCCCTCCATGCCGCGCAACGAGTCCCTGATCAATGGAAGCTTGGCTGCGATCGGTTCACCGGGCTGTTCGACGAGCAGGCTTCGGATCCTCTTCAGGACCGTCACAGTGTGCACCCAGAAGCCGCTCGTCGAAGAGATGAACATGACGAGGATCGTGACGAGCATCATCAAGTTGGCCCTCGGCAATCCGCGTTGGCTGAGAAGGCAGTCAGACAGCGCACGGCCAAAACGAACACGCTGGGCGAACTGTTGCTCACCAAAGTACCCATGTAGAAAACAGGATCAGCACGACGTATATGCCTGGGTGCCTTTGTCAGTCGTTGCGCTCCACAATCGCGCTCCAGCAAGCTAAAGAAGCGACCCACCGTAAAACAGCGTCTGCAGGGCCAGCGCAGTGACGTTGTACAGAATGATCAAACCCGCGTCGTGGATCGCTTGCGCCTCGGTCAGGTCCGACGCGTTATTGGTTTGGGCGTCGATGTACATCGAATTGAAGGCGGACATTTGCAAGTGGAGATGGAGAGCTGTGACTCTCCCCCCTCGCAGCTCAAGGCTTTAAACGGCCCAGCTGGATGATATCTCATATTGTCGAACAGCTGTATGCGTTGGTTTACTCGCAAACCAAAGGATCCTCGTAGTCGCACTGCGGCGTGCCGGGTGCCGCCTGCTGCCTGTCTCCTGTCTATGGGTTGAGTCAATGACGATGACAATGACGTGGACGCGCCTGACGAATGGACACACAACTGTAATACTTATCTGGACTCTTGAGATTGCTCTTGGATCCTTGTAGAAGCCGACTGCGACACAACCATCCACGAACGGAATAAGGACTCCATATCACACATGGGCGTAGTAGGTCCACGTCTATCTACACCTGTAGCTCACGTACCGATCATACATACACACACCCCGCATACAGGACATCCAAAAGAAGGCATGAATGAACGGACGGACGAACAAAGAATGTCAGCCCCACATACTACTCCGAAACCCAGCACGGTCCTCGCGATGGGAGGAGTCCTTATAGGGGCCTCCGCGCACACACATGGAACAAACCACTCGGCGCGGGTGTCTCACTCTCGCCTGCTCGTTCGTCCGCTGGCGCTGCCAGCAAAGGCAGCGACCGCGGGGCGCTGCGCCGTCCACAGGTAAAAGCGCCTGCGGACGGGCGAGGGCGCTCGAGGCTGCATCGAAATAGAGAGATCAGACAATGAAGGAGCCTCCTACGGTCCGCAAGGATCAAACTCGACAAGGGACCTGTTTTGGAAAAGTGCCAATCCATCGACATCCAGATTCCAGTGGCGGAAGCAGAGCGCTGGTCGAAGTGGCTCGGAGCGGAACGGAGATTTACACCGGATGCACACGGGGCGCTTGGACCAGGACCCCGGACCGCAATGCATGGATCGAGATGCGCCAGCGACGGCTCATCTCGTCTGGTACTTGTTGCTGTAGGAGCTCAAGCACGGAGCTAATTGTCACAAGCCCAACCCCGTGCTTTGACCAAGCCAGCCACTGCGAGGTGCGACCACAAAACCTGATGCCTTCCTCGACTTTCTTTTTCATTTATCTCAGCTATCTGGCGAACACGACTTTCCGTTGGTCATCTGGGAAATGGCGTCGGAGGAACCTGAGTCAGTAGATCGGATGGACGAGGATGACAAACACTTCCCCTCAATGCGGAAGATGAAGAGGCCGAGACAGACACGGAAGAGACAGACATGGTGCAGTGCGCACGATGCAGGCAGGTATGTTTTAGAGCTTTAAGCGTTCTCCTCCTTTTGAGACCAACGATAACATATATTGAACTTTACAGAGAAAGTGTCGCTATCGTCAAGTGCAGATAAAGAGCGCTGATGAGCCCAGGACAGTATGTTTTATTATTAATTCAATTCCCAATAGGTTTCTCATCCTAAGCTTCTAGACATTTGTAAGGTACATGAACATATGGGGCTACACTCTGGCACCCTGATTGACCTTGATGCTACGAAACTACAGATGCATGATCTGCAACTATAAGTAGAGCGCTATATCTCTCCTCTCGTATTCGTCGCGCTGACGGTCGCTTGCAGGTGGAAATTCTCGTAGAGTGTGCCGCCCTCCCTCACAATAAGGTGCTGAACCTCACTCACACTCACCGTCGCAGTTGGCAAACCTATGCCTGTCCGTCCGGGCTTCAAAGCCACTGTAACGCTGACTCCTCCACCTCATACCCGTTTCTCTGGTCCCCGGGCAAACTGCCTACTAACGGCTGTGCTAGCTTGCTTTACTGGGTTTATGCATCTCCCCCCTCCCTAGCTACCAAGGCCATGCTTGCCTACAATCTTGTCACGTAGTTCTGTCTTTTGTGCTATCGCTGCTTTGCTTCGTACTCCTCAATCTCCTCGTTCTCGATCGGCTAAACCAGAGCGTACACGAGCCGAGATCGTTTCACCAAGTCGAGTTGAACGTCAAACTCGGATCGAAAGTCCTCGGAGTCGTTCTAGCAGTCCGATCGCTGGATACGCCCAACCTTCTAGTGGGATCCACCGCGTGTCCATCCAGCGGCGGCTTCGAGAGATCAGAATCTCAGAAAAATCACGGCAGAGCCAGGTGTCCTCATAGGACCCCCGAAAATAGGGGAGGTGGCCTGACCCCCTATCCGGAGAAAATTCGTGCAAAAAAGGCCTAAAAACCAGAGTCCGTCCGGATAAAAATGCCACGCTGTGGTGGTAGGCCTGTGCCGTGGTCCGGATTTTTTGGGCTGTTGTCGCGGAAAAGCTGATGCCGGGTCCGGATCTTTTGGCAGTAATATGGATGATGAGTCCGAACTTTTGTATCGGTCTTGTGGTGCAATGGAATGACCAGTTTAATTTGAACACAAGAGTATGCAAGATACGAGGTTCGAGCCACAAGCATTTTCGGGACTTCCTGGACCCGACTGGCCTTCTACTCCTTGAGCTAAAAAACCGCTGTGCTTCGACTTTATTCGTTACGTAGAACAGGCGCTTCTCTCGCGCTCGTCTCTCTTCGTCTCTACTTCATCTTTCTTCATGTTCAACCATCCTTCTAAAGCTGTTCACCCGAGATATCTTCCCTGTTTTTGATTTACAATCTCATACTAGTCAGAGGCCACTATAGACTTATTTGATAGCTCAGTGTTACTATGCCAGTATTATCTGGCACCGGTCTGGTATCATTTCATTTGCTCGACACAATGACCGAAATTATCCTCGACATATCCGACACCAGCTCTGACATGGCACTGGATCCTCAACTTGATATTCCTCCGGATTATACAAAAATTCTCCCTCATCGACAACTATCGATCACCGAGCTCACAGACACTCTCACATATGCTCTCTTGTATATCATCAGTTCAAAAATGACATTCTAATGTAGATTCTAACAAAATTGTGTCTTTAAAGGCCTGATCTATGTTGTCCGACGAAAAATTGGCTCTTTTGAGGCCTGATCCCAGCAATCCGAACATTTTGGACATCCGGGATGCCTGATGCCTCCGTCGGGCAAAATTATGGATATTGGCACCAAAACCAGAGGCAAATCTGAACATTTTGAGCGAGATTTGGCTCACTTGTCCGAACTTTCTTCAGGATTTACCAAAAATGTGACTCAGGCATACCCCCCTATTTTCAGGGGCTTTGTCCTCATCTGCTGCGACCACAAGCCTGGATTGCCGCCGGGCGCTTGACAGAAAGCCCTCAGGCCCTCAACGGTCGCAGAACCACAGTCATCGAAGCTGAAAACAAACGCATGCCGCCATGTGATACCCAAAGTCGCCCAACGAGGGGACGTCGTATAACCACGCTGGCCCCACCGTCCCCGTGCCTGCGCGCAGGAGAGGAGATAAAACACTCGAACAGAAAAATTCAGAGGCACCTCGCGCGTTCGTCAACACCCACATCCAACGACACGACGCGACGCCGGATGCCAATTAACCGCGATACACTCATACTATACTCGTATACAACGGGCCGTGCAGCTCAGCCCAGCCCCGCAGCAAACGCACCCAGCTCTAACGACGACATACGAACGACGACGACGACCGATGACGCAAGCAGAACGGACCGGAACGGACGGAAGACGCAGAAAAGTGGAAAAGAATGGGGAAGGAGAGGCGGAGATATGTTGAAAAAAAGCGGTCAAAGACACGACGAGGCGGTACAATCAAGCCTATATCCAGCAGCAAGCGAGTGAGTATTTCTTATTTCGTGCACGAGAGCAGACACATAAACCCAAAGAGAGAGAGAGAGGGGACGACGACGACCGCAGGCCAAGCAAAAAAGAAAGAAAAAGACAAATAAAAACACGCACTCCGCACCACCACCGCGCACCGACCCCCCACGCCCGCAAATCACTCACCGTGTCACCGCTCACCCTCCCCATCGCTCATACCCACGCTACCGCTCTCGCTCCTCGCCCTCTTCCCGTTCCCGTTCACCGTGCTCCGCTCCGACCCCGACCCCGATCCCGACCGTGACCCGGTGCCCGACGTCCCAGTCCCCGGCCTCTCGTGTGCGCGTGCGCGTCCTTGTCGCTGGTCCTGGTCATGCTCCTGGTCGTGCCCCCGACCATGGCCCCCCTGCCCACGGCCGACGATCGGCGGCGCGGGGTACGCATTCATGATACTCGCGAACGTGGGCGGGACGGGCGGCGGCGCGCCTGTCATGTACGGCGACTGGGACTGCGAGTGCGCCGACGGCGAGCGCGAATCCGGGTGCGAGGGCGGGTGCGAGAGGCCCTGGGATGACTGCGCCTGGGAGGAGCTCGCGTGCGACTGCTGCGAGTGCGAGTACGAGTGTGTGCTTGATTGCGAGTGAGAGCGCGAGTGCGCCTGCGGAGGATACGCCTGCGGATGCCCCTGGTGTCTCGGCGGCGGCGGCGGCGGGTGTCGCGATGCGTACGGATGTCGGGGCGTGCTCATGATGGGCGAGCGGGATGGCCCCTGCTGGTGCTCATGACCGTGCTCGTGAGGCTGGTATTCATGCTGGTGCTGTTGCTGGTGCGGATGTTGATGCGCGTGTGGGTGCGCGTGCGATTGAGAGTGTGAGTGCTGGAGCTGTGGCGCGAGATGGTGTGCCTGATGAGGGTGCTGCTGGTGATGCTGATGATGGCGGTGAGGATACGGCGGCGGCGGCAACTCGTCCGGGATCCCGTGGGACGCCCTCCCATCTCGCGGCTCGTGTTCTGGTGGAGGCGCGTGTATGTCTTCCATTGGCTGATCGCCGTCCTCGAGGTCTCTTGCGTCCCCACGACCATCATATTCTTCGGGAAGCGCGGGCACGACCGCCGCGTGCCGCCCGCCTAGCTGCCTGTGCGAACTGATCCTAAGCCTTGCTTCCACGAGACGGGGATAAAAGACACCAAAAGGGCAGGAAACAGAGAAAAAAGGGCAAGGCAAAAACACTCACCCGCCTTCATAGAAATTTTGCCATACATAGTTCTGCAGCCGGTCCGCGTTGGGCAGCTCTTGTATGAGATGCTTGATCGTGTTCTGCCCGAGGCCGAAGAAATCTGGCCCCGACACGGAGTTGCTATGCTGGCGGTTGCGCACGTGGTTTGCGGCACGAACGACGACAGACCATGCGCCGGTCGCGGTGCCTGCAACAATTGGCTTGTCGGGCATGTCCGCAGCGATGATCTGGAACTTGGGTCCGTCGCCACCATCCAGGATCGTGCAGTGGTAGACCACATCCGCGTTCGCGTCGCACGCGGAGTGGTAGCGCCTGCGAAGGGAACACAGAGTGTGGAAGAGGAAGAAACAGGCAGGGCATGAGGATGATAAGGCAAAGCAGCGCGGCGAGGTGGAGAGGACAGGAAAGGAAAGGACGAGACAAGGGGGTGGAACCATGCATGAGGAACATGTACACAGGAGGGAATCGAACCCCTCGAGAACGACGGAACACAGGGGGACAAGGGAAACGAAGGGGTGAAACGGAAGAGAAGAAGGATGACGTACCTGGTCACTTCGTATCCTACAGGGAAGATGTACCTCTCCGTATGGAAATGTTCGCGCATGCACACCTCGCCGAGGCTGATCACGGTCATGATACCGACATTGAGCGGGAGTATCGGGCCCCCTTTGTTGTCGCGCGGCACGGTGGGGATCGTATGCGACTTGGTCATCACGGTGTGCGCCTTGAGTCGCTTTGGCTTGGCATGTCGCTGGATCTCGGACGGCCGCGAGGCCGCGGTCGCAAATGCGGCTGCGTTGGCCTGCACCTGCGAGGAGGTGGACGCGCCTGGAGAGCCCGTCGGATGTCCCCCTCCGCTGCCGTTGCGCGGGTGTGCGGGAGAGTCGCCCGAGTAGTGCGGCTCGTTGTCCGAGGCGAGCGAGGACAGCGGCGAGACGGGAGAACGCGTGCTGTACGCATCCGTGCGGTTCCACGTCCCGCTACCGCTTCCACCGCCGTTGTTATTGTTGTTGTTGCTCCTCATAGCGAGGAGAGAGTTCTGAGCCAAGGGAGTAGCGTATTTCGTCTCAGAGGCGGAGTTCGACGGAGGCGGAGGACCGGGCGGCGCCGGCGCCGGCGGAATTATCCGGATACGTTTGCCCGACGTCGAGACCAGCGTATGGGTGCCGGGCGGCGTCGACGCATGCGGCGGGGGAGGGCCGCCAGGGTGAGAGGGTGGTCCGGCATCGACCGGTTTGGCCCCAACCCCAACTCCGGCGGGGCCGGGTTTCGGCCGGCGCGCGGGCCTACGGACGTCACGGGCATCTTCTTCAATGCGCTCGCGCTCCTTGGCCTCTTCCTCGCGACGGCGGCGGGCCTGGAGGCCAATGTAACGGGAGGAAAGCATCGGATCGGTGTTGGCGTCTTCGGATTCGAGCTCGTCGGCTGCGCGGCGGAGGTTTGCAGCAAAGGCGGCCTGCTTGCGGGGCGAGAGGAGGGTGCGCGGCAAGGCGGTGCTCGCGGGTTGCGGGATGGAGGGATCGGAGAGGATGGCGGGAATGCCGTTGCCATTGGAGGGGATACGCGTGTGGGCGCTCTCGGCGCCGTTGCTTTCGAGCCTGATGATGGTCTCGAGCTCGATGATGCGGTCGAGGAGTATGCTGGAGGAGAGATGAGGAAGATTGTAGAGAGAGGGGGGAGGGGAGGGGGAGAGGGCGTACTCTCTTTCGTCGCTCATGCGCTGATTGCGCTCAGAGGAGAGGCTGAGGTCGTCTTCCAGGGCCTTCGTTTTCTGGGGAGAGATGAGCGTGGGGTGGGGGGGGGAGAGGAGAGAGGGGGGCTCAAGGTGCACCTGCTCGAGGTCGACATATCTTTTTTTGAGCTTGTAGTACTTGTCGGCGAAGTCCCTGGTGTCCTTGAGGGACGAGGGGGGGAAGGGCTGGGGCACGGGCACGGGCACGGGAGGGGGACCCATTATGACGTCTCTGTCTGGGGGAGGAGGGGGCATTATAGGATCGGGGCGCGTGCGACTGATAAAGAGGGGAGGGGTGGTGGAAGAGGATGGCGATCAGAGGCTCGCACTGGAGTGACCGCGCCAACGCTGCAACGAAACGAGCTCGCAGGCGCGCCAGTCACTCGTCCAGCCGTCCGAGATGCCGTCATCCTGATTGTCACCCGACTCTGGCCCATTTCCAATCCCCGTCCCCTTGCTCTCACCGATCGTCCCTCCCCCTTTGGGCGACGCTACGCCATCCTCAGCCGCCCGTCCCCTCGAGCGACCCCCCTCCCTATGCTCCGTATGGGCCCTTCCATCGGTCCAGCCCGGCCCCCACCCACCGCGCCCAATCCCACCGCACCCTGAGCAACCCTTCGCTCCTGTCGGACCCAGCCACAAATGATTCCTCGCCAAGCGCCCGACACCGCGCGCCCGCCCTTCCATTTCCAATTCCCCCTCCTCCCCTCCATTTTCTCTCTCTGCCCTTTTTCGGTCATCCTCCTGCTTATTTGGGATCCCGTCCGCTCCCATGACACCCTGGCGTCCGCTGCCTCCCCTCTGCGCCGCGACACGGCGTCCGCATCCCACTTACTGCATTCCGACACGTCGCATCCCGTCTGATACGATCAGTCCCGGGCACTTATCTCCTCTGGGTCGTTGGTGTCTGCGTCGAGCCCCTACCATTAGTACTCCATGATGCGTTTGTCAGATCACCACCGCTCTTATCCTCGGATTGGCTGCCGCGTCGCTTCGCTGTACTCTACCAGTAGCCATGACGATGCCTCCTCGACCCAATCTGCCGAGCACAGCGGGATCAGCACGGTCATGCGAGTCTCTGTGCCGTCGTATCTCCCCGTCGACACAGCGCCGACAACAAGCGCCACCGCCAGCCACTCGCCACCATCACCTTAGTACCTGCACCTCGCTCCCAGTGCAGCCGCGCCTTCCGCTTCGCATTCACACACACGACCCTCTTCGCGCCTTCGCACTTGATCGAGCGGGCGCCGCGAGCGAGGAACGCGGCCGGGCTCGGCGCGTGTCAGCGCGCACGAAGACACGGGACGCACAGGACGGATTCTCTCGCACGAAGCCAATCAGGATGACAGGTCGCAAGTGTTCGAGAGTGAGGACCCCGGACGCCACACAAAAGTCCCTCGATGCGGGACCTGATCACACTCCTGGCACTGACATGGCCAGACCCTGATGCGAAGCATGCCGTCCTTTTGCTCACACGCTCCAAATTCCATCTCTGGCTCGCCGCGACGACCTCAACCACAGCCTTCCGTGGCCGTGCGCGCGGCGGACAGCACGCTCAGCCACCAGAAGCTCGTCATCGGCGCGTCTACCACGGACGTCAGCCACCCGCCGCCCGCCGTCCAGTTCGAATGGGGGAACACGCCTGGTTCGGACACGCCTCTGCGGCTTCTTTTCTTCCGTCTTCTTTTGTTCCCTCTGCCAAGCTTCTCTTCTTTCCCCAACGCATCCGTCCTTGACACGCCCTCTACGTACGAACATGCGCAGCGTGCACGACATTCGCTCCGCTCCCTCTCTGGGAGTCGGACGCAATCTTATCTCCTTTGGGCCTGTCGTCATCTACAGCCTGCAGGCCTCGAGCCACGGACCGCGATTCGAACCGTGCTCATCCTCTTGTTCCGACCCACAGTCTTCCTCCAGCCGCCCACGTCCTTGCAATGTCTGCCGTCATGATGACACGCGCCCCCTCAGGATACACACGCGCCGCTGCCCCCGCGCCCCGCATGGTTAATCACATTCCGCAACGCTGGCGTCCACTCTCCACTCTCCACCGACGCCAGCCCCCCACACGAGCACTTAGGGTCGCACCTGCACACTCGAGGAGGGGTCCGGACCCGGACTTTTGTGCCTCAACCCCGAGGCGCTATGCGGACCGTGCGCGCGGCTTTCCGATGCTCCCAGTCCGTGGGCGTGTGCGTCAGCGTCGGGGCCGTGTGACTATCAGTGCCATCGCGCTCACCTTATTAATAGATGGGAAGGTCGTGCTCCTTATGCACAGATGTTGCGTCGATCTGGACGAGACGAGACACGGCGGTAACGGCGACGTGCAGGAGCCTGCCCGCGCGCCTGTCCAAAACAAACAGACAGTTCTTGGAGGAGGAGAGAGGGGGCAGAGGGGCTGATGCGGCACCGTCGCCGAACAGGATGCGCGCCGGCAGATCCTCTTATTCCCCTCCACATCGGCGCACGTTCATATAGGCTCATGTCGTGCTTGCCCCGCATCGCGCTGTATTGCATTTGTACCCTCTCCCGCAAGCGTCGCTTCTTTCCCAGGCTGCAGCCATTATTTCACGTCTGCTCTGATCTATGAACGCCTTTTTCAAGGCGCGAGCGCGAGCGTGAGTACGCCTGGGCACATCTCAGCCTGCGCGGGGACGAGCCGCGCTCTCGAGTCTGGACTGCGCCCGCTCCTACAGCTGCTCACGCAGCCTTCTTGCCTCCAGCCGTCGAGATCGCGCGGACATCTCTCCCTCCGGCGGTGCTGAGATCCACGAGCGCGAGTCGCGGCCGGGATCTGTCTCTGCACGCCTTGTACCACATATA